GCTGGTGGAACCTCCATTTGGGGAACTGTGGATGAAGTGCTGGGCATTGTAATCAGCCATATCATTGCAATGTGAAAGGCAGTGGAAAACATGTTGTGAGTGTAGCCATCACAGCTAGACGTAAATGTAAGCTTAGTAGCCACGGTTATGCCCAACCTCCAGTGTAAGAGGAGAGGAAGGGGAAGGAGAAGGCTTGGGTTTCTTTGGTCCAAGCCAGCAGCCCTGAATCAAATTGTGAGTAAGGGAGCGTTACCATGGTTTGGTATGGCATCTGAATTTACATCAGTAATTGATGGCGGCAGATTGGACTGCAGAATCATGGCTGTGAGGTGAATTTGCAAAATGTAGTTTCTTTTAACTGGTTCAACATGTTACCTTCATTGATCAACCACTATTATTTCTCTGCTGCTAAAGGCTCCTTCTTTAAGTTGATGGAAACTGAAGCCGAGAAGAACAGTGAACTAAACCAGACAAGCATTTCTGAACCTTGGTTTCCCTAGTTTCTAAGCAATGCATAGAAAAACTGTATCTTGGTGTGACATCTGAGCACTGAGAGATGGTGGAAGTTGAGACTGACAACTTGGGTTTTCCATCCAGCTCCTAAGTGCACATTCTTCCTTTGTGATGAGATTTCAAGATCCTCAGGTCTTCTTATGAGGTGCCTGTAGCTTTGACCTTCTCCCCTAAGCTTAGTTCTAAGCTCCTTTTTGGAACACTTGACGAATTCTGGCATGATTTTATAAACAAGATGGCAACCTTGGGAGTGGTTCTATTTCCGTTTTCCTGTTTTTAATTATGATGAGGGGACTTGATACTAATGTGGCTGTACACTTTGCTGGAGGATATGCAGTGTTAAATTTGGGGGCGGGGTGGTCCGTGTGCTCCCTTAATCAGGAAATGCCATTTTGAGTGTGAGGAACAGCAAATTTGAGAACTGCAGAGAGCCCAAAGGGAAATTTGGATTATGATTAAATATGAAATGTTTATGTTGGGGAAGAGAGAGAGAGATGATATGGGAAGCTGTTTTGGCTGTGCTCTCTCCTTTTGGGGGGCGATAGCTAATCATAGAAACATGCCTCTGTGTATACCAGACTCGTGTCTTGCTTTATCTCTTTTTCAAAAAAGGTCCTGTCTCATTCCTTGGCTTTGTGAGACTTATTATTTGGCAGAATTCACTTGCGTGCTATTTTGTCTTTGCATAATTCAGAGGGATGTGGGAAGCACGGCATATTGGCCCTGAGCGAATCTAGTTTGCTTTTATCCTTACGTTTTCAACTTACCCCACTACTCTTTGACCCGATAAGGAGAAAGCTGCTATTCCATTGAGTTGAGCACCTTATTCTGTTCTTTTTCATTTCTCCCTCCACACAATGAAAAGAGAAATCAAGTGGAAATCATTCCTACGTCGGGGAATCCTGGATGCTTTGATAATTTGATTTGCTCAGTGTATTCTTGGTGTAGCACTAGTGATGCTCCCATTTCAGACATTACTGTGGGCTTGGTTTTTATTAAACTGTTCTATTTATTTAATTATATTCATACACCGTGCTTTCAGCCAAGATTGGCTCCTGGCTTATAATGCTGTTGTATGCCATCAAGTTGTCTCCAGCTCATGGCAGCCCTAAGAAAGAAAGGAAGCCCCCCCAGAATTTCCTATCCATGAAGGCCCTGCTTAGCTGTTCTAAATTCTAGGCCGTGGCTTCCTTGCTGGAGCCCCTCCATCTCTTACTTGGCCTTCCTGTGCTTCTTTGGTCTGCAACTTTCCCTAACATGATTGTCTTCTCCAGCAATTGCCTTCTCATGATGTGTCAGAAGTAGAACAGCCTCAATTGTCATTTTTGCTTCTAGGGGAATTCTGGCTTGATTTGACCTGGGACCTACTTGTTTGTCATTCTGTGGGTCCAGGGTATTAGCAAAGCTCTCCTCCAGGCCCGTGTTTTGAGCACATCCATTTTCTTCCTGTCAAGTTTCACCGTCCAACTTTCACACCCATGCATGGAGACTGAGAATACAACAGAGTGGATGATCTTGGCCTTGGTCTCCAGTGAAACATCCTTACACTGGGGGACCTTTTCTAGTTTCTTCATTGTTGCCCTTCCAAGTCTCAGTCATCTTCAGATTTCTTGGCTTCAGTCTCCCTTTGAATTGTGGATTGAGCCAAGGGATGCAAAATCGTTCACAATTTTGATTTTTTTCCCCAGTGACTTACAATAGTATAAAATACAATCAGATAATTATTCAAAATTTGACTTCAATCTGAGCTTGGCCTGTTAGTCTCCCAATGATATCATCATACATCTATGGTAGGGCCTGGTGTTCTTCCCTTGCTTGCAGCTCAGAATCCTTTGTCACGGGGAAGCATGGGAAACAGGTTGAACTAGAAAACATTTGCAAGAGCATTTTTCATGAGCTCCAGTATGAAGAATCATCCTTGCCTTAACCCTGAGGTCTCCACTAAGGATGGGATTCTTGATAGCCCTCCCTGCGTCCACTCGGAAACAACCTTTCTAGTTTTCTGATAAATTTGTGCGACCATATGATTTGTTATAGGGTTGCAGTGAAGCGATTAGAAGCGCAGTCCTCTGAACGTTCAGAGAGGAGAACCTCTGCATCATTGCCCAGCCAACAGCCTTTTCTGTGTCACTTGGGTCAAAGGGGCAACTAGACTATGAGGGCATTTAAAGTGTGGACCTGAGCCAACAGAGGTGGAGAGGGCATTCTGCAGTTACCATATGCACCACTGGTAGAACATATCGTAGTTCCCAAACTCTTCCAAGGTGAAGAGTTGGCCTTGTGTCATCACCTTTGTTTTCCAAGCCTGGACTGGGTGGCTGCTTGAAGAAGGACTTAGCAAGAGCTGTTACCATTTGTGGAACCAGAGGTAGCAAATTGTCACTTGATTCGTCACCTACAGCAAGTAAAAATCCTCTGCCAGTGATGGGGTGAACACATTGTGGAACTCAGAAGAGAGCTATTCAGTAAAAATGCCTGTTTTTAGAAAGCTTCTCTTGATGCCCCAATTGATTAAGGGCATGATGACAGACACATTTAGATAAGTCCTGTAGCTTCTAGCATCACTCCAGCATGGATAGGGCATGCTGGGAATTGTAGGCGTTTTTCCAGTCTAAATTTGGATATGATTGTGTCTTAAGATAGGAGTAAGTAGGTAGGAAGGCTATCAGTAATTTAACGGAATCAGTAAATTTTGCTGAGCTTTTTGCAAGGTTAAGACCAAGGATCTATGCATATTTCTGGCAGGCCACAATATGTCTCAAGGGAAGCATAGAATATGGGGAATAAGATGGGTGATAACTGAAGATATTACAGAGAGAAATGAGGTCAGATGGAGAAGTCAGGACTGTTAAATGGTATGAAGAAGAAGTTCGCTTGATTTTGTATTTTAACACAAATTCACACTTGTAGAGCTAATACACAAACTGAAATGCAAATTATCTTCCAAACTTGCATTTTATATGCATTCCTCTTACTGTATCCATTTCAGCACACAGCAAGTAGGAGCAGAAACGTGTACACAAGTGCATACACTGAGAGAAGTACATACAAAAATGCGTGTAGTTTTTGTGTAGATTTTTTAATAAAGCATTCAGAATTCATGGAACAAACTCATTCTCACAAAAAGTTCTAAACTTGTAGAAACAAACTGCAAGGTTTCCCACCCTGCACACCCCCAATACTCTTGAACAGACCTGCGAAATTCCCTCTTCTCATCCCTCGCCCCCAGGATAACTTATCTTTTGAAATGCTGAGTACCAAGCACTTTCTAACTTGGGTAGGTGTCATGCTGTTCTTTATGCATTATGGCTGCCCTTCCATCAAGTGATCTGAAGACAGTAGGGGAAGAATCCAAATCATTTATTCTCAAGCAAACATGCCTCAGGTGTGTTTGACAAACTGATTGACTCTCCAGTTGGTTCATGCAACTTGGTAACTTGAAATGACTGGGAAAAGAGCATGCATCGTATTAATCCTTTTTCTCTCCCAAACGGCAAAGTTCTCTGGGTTGTTCACAGCCATTAAGACATTTCTGTAAATTAGGAAAGCTCTTAGCCTGCTCATTCCTGGTTGGCTTTGTATTACAGGGCAAGTATGTATTCTATTGTGTATTATAAGGCGACCACATAGTTCTCAAGCCTCATAGCTGTAATAGAGACATAGAGCGTTGCTTTCAGGAGAGAACAGGCGAGAGTGTTGAACGCTTCCTTTGCTCCCCTGTTCAAATTATCCCTGGGTTATTTTTAATTTGCTTCCCCTTTTCTGGGCTTCACATCTGGAAATAAGCTTAGGAGTAGGCCTTTGTGGAAGACAATCTGCAGATACAGGAGCGGAGGGATTTCTCTCTCTCAGCCACTGCTCATCTACCAGTATTATACCAGTAAAATGGCAGGTGGGGGATTGCAAAATATTCATTTGCCACAAGACCCAGCCTGCAGAAGCCAAGCCAAACAGTGGCTCTTCCTGATCCCTCAGAGGCTGCTGACAAGGCAAGATAACTCTCTAGTTGGTAGTTGTCATTGGTACTACTACTGTCTAGGCATGTTCTATCTAAATCTAGCAAACAGATGGCTTTTCTGCACTGCCTGACCCTTCCTAATCTTGGATCAGGCCTGGTTGAAATCTGGATGGGTGACTTAATGTTGTGAACTACCCAGAGAGCTTTGGCTAAGAGCAGTATAGAAATGTAATGAATAATGATGATAGTCATGAGACTGTAACCACATGTTCTCATGGTTGTGGTTGGGAAAAGGGAAGATTAAATCTTGGAGGAGAAACGAGGCCTGTCCGTGCCTTTGAGACTCAAAGGTCCAAATCAGTACCTTGAAATATTTGCAGTAGAGAGCCCAGTGGAGAATTTGGAGCACTGAGGAACGGACAAGAGGAGTTCTGAATGTGCTGATTGGGCACAGTCTGTTAATTTCAAAATTCTCCTCAGCAGATAAACAGATCCCCCAAAAGATGACTTTTCTCGTTGCTCACCACAGCCATGCACCTGTTTGGCCTAAACTGGCACCTGCAACCGATGGAAGGGCAGATGTATGAGATCACGGAAGACATGGCCACCAGTTGGCCAGTGCCAACGGACGTCTCCGTATATTCCTCAGGGGGCACGGGGTTAGAGTTACCTGACAGGAAAGGCAAAGGAGTCGGCGAAGGTACGGTTGGTGTGCTGTCCTTGTTGTGAGTCCTCTGTGTCTGCCTCTGAATTCCAGACATCCCCCTTCATCACTTCATCGCCCCTTCCTCCAGCACCACCACATCTTGGAACTGTCCCACTTCGTCCCATTCTCGAGTCAGTAATTGTCCATCCATATTTATTTCCATGTGTCCCTTTTGCACTGTTAACTGCCGAGTCCTGAAATGTGCGTTACCATGGATTGATCCATCCAGAGCCATTCATAAAAAGAAATATCTCTTTCATTTGCATTTGGAGAAGATATTTCTCCACCAAAAGTCTCCTCTCTTCATTTCCTGTATCAGAAACGTTTTGCTGATTTAAAATGTTGCTTCAACTTTACTTCTTTTACAGGGGCTACTTGATGCTGACAATCTTGCTTATTCAGGTTTTTGCTACTATTGGAAATCTGATCGTATCTTACATTAAAATATTAATAAAGAACCACAGAAAGCACAAATGTTCATCTGCTGTCCTCAAACCATGCATTCTGAATTCCTTCATTAGGAAATCAGTATAATTTATATAACAGAATTCTACCTGATTTCACAGTGATTCTCAGTTCCATCCACCCAACTCTTTTGGTCAAAATGATACTGTTGATCAAATGTGAATGTTATTTTTCCTGCATCCTGTGAATGTTATTTTTCCTCCAAGTTTTCCTGTTAGAGTTTTGACACTTACACATTTTTGATATTCGAAATTAATATGTGGGACAGGATCCAATTGTGGCTCCATACTGGCATGGATGACATTGAGCTATCATAAACCAGCGCTTCACCAAGTAACCAGCACTTATTGGGCAAGTGGGGAAAAAAAGCATTGATTTACTGCTGAACTTCAGCGCTGCTGCCAGAATTTGGCACCAAATTTCCCCATTGCCCAAGCAAGCACTCGATAGGTTGTGGTTTATGCTAGTTGTGATTTCTGCTAGTTCCGGGACACCATTGGACCCTGCCTTAGATGTTCAGGAATCAAAGTTAGATTAGCCACCTCGCCACTTGTACAATCTCAGTCTCATCGGTTGCGTTTAGAATCAAAACTGAAGGTTTGCTTACTTCTATGCAAGTGGGCTTCAGAATGCAAGTTAGCTACCTGGAAGTTGCCGGTTTCTCTTCTTGATTGCTCTGCAAAGGATCATTGCTTCGTGCAATGTTTCCTGTCTTCTTCCAGTTGCCAAGAGGCATTCCTGCCTACTGGAATTAAGAAGATGCAGATGTTTGGAATGACAAAGCCAGGGCTTTGCTCAGGGGAAGACCACTGACAGTTTGACAACCAGTGTAGTGGCATTCAATGAGGAATCCATGGCAGCAATACCTGCAACAGGTGAAGTCCTGCCTTTATTAAAAATTACTCATTACCTGTGTCAGTCGGGAGCCTGCATTTGGCTCCAGGTAGGAACTGGCAAGTTTCTCATCCACTCCAAATGAAATGTGTAGGGCTGATGAAGTGAGCTACTCCTAGTTTAATTAAAACCACCTCCCTTGTTCTTTATATGAACTGCATTATATCTGAGATGTGAAGGACTCAGCTACCAACTATCTCAGCCAGCAGATGTAGATAGCAGCACACGGTTTCCCTTCAGGCAGAAGAGCATTGCAACTTAAGGGCCTCTTTTCCAGCAGAGCAGCTATTTATGGTTTGTATTGCAGCTCTTGAGGCTTTTCCTTTGCTTCTGGCCATTGTCCCATCCAAGATCAAGGTGCCCTCTGCCCTTGATGACCACCGGTGTTCTAGTCCATTGAGCTATATTTTCGTACCTAAGAACAGAAGAAAAGCCCTGCTGGATCAGACCCAAGCTCCATCGAGTCAGACCTCAGTATGCGCAGTCGCACACAGTTGCCCACAGGATGCCTCCAGCAGGATGGGTGCGAGGCCTCCTCTGCCCAGCTCCTCAGCAACGGGTGCATGCAAGCAGGCAACTTCTGGGGAAGGAGGTAGCCCAATGCCAGGACGGCTAGTAGCCACAGATAGCTTCCTCCCTCATGAATCGGTCCAATCCCTTTGGAAAGCCATCCAGATCGGTGGCCATCACTACTTCTAGTGGTAGTGAATTCCATAGTTTAAGTAGAGGCTGTGTGAAGGACTTGGTCCTAAACCTCCCACCAGTCAGCTTCATGGGATGACCCCAGGCTTGAGTTGGACAAAAATGTCTCCCTTTCCACTTTCTCCACACTGCATTATTTTCAACGCCTCTGTCATGTCTTCCCTGACTTGCCTTTTTTCAAAGCTGAACTTTCCCCCTTGTTGTAGCAGCTCCTCATAAGAGAGCGGCTCCAGCCCTCTGGTCATTTTTGCTGACCTTCTCTGTACTTTTTCCAGCTCAGTTATGCCCTTTTTCAGGTCAGGTGACCAGAACTGAACATAATATTCCAAGTGTGGTTCTGCATTGTTATGGCTGTGACTGTACTTTTTTTTGAAGAACTAGTCTTCGTATGTGATCAAAGATGGAGGCAACACAGGCGCAGTGAGAACTGGGGGAGAGAAACCTATGATGAGGACCGAAGAGCAGATTGCAAAATAGATGTTAACCCAGGATAAACAGCACAGAGGTGTTCTTCCCAACCACTGAAACTGGGCAGCATTGCTCTAAGAAGCTTTAAGTTACTAATACTATAAATCTGTATTATACCTGGTCAAACTTTTTTATGCAACTGGCCATCCAGAAAGAGTAGAAGCACTGGAAGGCAGTACCCCAATATCCAGGCAGTCAGTCCAAAAAGAGAGCTGTGGTCAGTGGCACAGAGAGTAAGTAACAGGAGAATCAACACAGGCCCACTTGGGTTGCTTGCATTATTTCTCTGCTGCCCATAGCCAAAGCTCTCTTCCCCCATCCCATCTTCCAGCACTTGCAGCATCAGAAAAAACAGAGGCTATTTCGGTGCCAATGCCAGGCCAAACACCCATCTGGAACGGAGCTGGATAATTTGGTGCTATGTAAAAGTTACATTCTCACCACTCATTAAAGCCCCTTTTCCAAAAAGGGAAGATTCTTGGCTGAGCGGAGCCTGAAGGGTGTTTCTGTAGGAGTGACCGCCTCCTCTTTTAGGAGGGAATAAATCCCTGGTTGCCATTTCTGCTCTCCTGCTGGATCTTATACACCAGTAGGGCGAGACCAACCTCTCCAGTTTGCGCCTGCCCATTGGACTTCTGGTGCTCAGCCTTTTCTAAGGATCTGTTCCCAGACCCCCGGTTGAGCAACCAGAAACCTCTCCAGCCACCCTTCCTGGCAGCCAGCCTTCTTCCCCACCAGCGGTGCACAGCTGAAGGGACAAAGTGAGTGGACCTGCCGGACACCACGCCCAGCGGCCAACGTCCTCCCCCACTTGCCACTCTCAGTGGCGGGGGCAGACGGAGAAGAACGGGGCCGTTTTTGCAGTGCCTGCAGTCGGATTCCTGATGAGGGCACCGCGAAAGCCGAGGACCCATACTCTGGACCACTGTAACATGGACTGGAGCCTGGGAAGCTGAAAATCAGGGAATCCAGCAGATTTTCCACCCCAAAGGATTGCTCGCACATCCCAATACACCGCAGCGAGCAGGTAAACAAGCAGTGAGGTGCAACTGTCCACTCACCTCGCACGCACCTTTGGGGCTTTATAACTGAACATCCTCCCACAAAATTAGGCTGGATGGTTTTTAATGACCATCGTAAAGCCAGTGGAATCTTAGGAAGAAAATTCATCCTCCGACTGCTTTACTCTTCTATTCCAGCCAGAAGCCCCATGCAGAATAGAGACGCAGGGAATGGAGTGCTTTGTGGACATGTTTTTAAAAGCTGCACATATTTTCAAAATGCTTTTTGCGGCACGTAAGAGCAAAGCGTGCCCTTCATTTTTCTTTCCTGGTGGGATCTCCTGCAAGATTCAATATTCCTGAAGCACCAGCTCAGTGGCTCGTCCTTTGCCTGTTGCCCTGTGCTTATCCCAAGCCACAGTTGCAAACTGAAAAATGCTGTTTAGGACTTGGGTTTTCATACATATACAAATACCACACACTTATTTTAAATTAAGTACCACCAGAGCATCGAAAGTGATGTGCCCACAGGGGGAGTTCATGCTGACTGGATAACAGATGGAATCACTTAACGTGTTAAGTAGAGTTTTACTTTCTAGAACAGTGAAAGTATTTTATTTTATAGTTACAAGAATGTGCTACCAATCAGAATCTTGCCATGAAGCATGCATTGTCTAGGAATTTGGCTGTATAAACAGGCAGTGGCTGGAGACGATATTTTAATTCCTTATTCCCTAAATGCCATTTACATTTTTTTTTTTTCAGAAAGGGAAGAAGGCAATACAGTCTTCTCATTGATTCCAATTATTAATTTAGTTATCTTCCCAAAGGAATAAAAAATTTGTTCCAGATTCATGTCATTCACTTTGCTTAACTGTACAGAAGTGAGTTTCACTGGCCCAAGAAGATTTATTTATGTATTTATTACATTTATGTGCCACCCCTAGCCCAAAGGGCTCTCTGGGTGGCTTAACAGTAAAAACAGCAAGAAGAACAAGAACAATTAAAAGGGTAACATCCTTTAAAACTACACAAGATCTGGCACTCAGGCAAAAATTTAAAAAGTTGACAAATTTGCATTTCGAACAATATTAACAAGATGCCTTTAGCACACCTGAAGGCACGTAAAACTTAGAAAAGAGATAAGGTATCAGGGAATGGAATTGGTGGCTGGCTAGTTGGAACTGGCCAGGAAAGGGGAGAGGATGAATGGGACAGACCGACCGGGAGGCTTAAAAATATATCTGGCAATGGAAAGAGAAGACACCATAGAGCTGGAAAGTGGTTATATTTATGTGGCCCTTTTTGCTCTTCGCGCCATTTCTCTTTTCCTGCATCAGCGAAAGAGGAGGAAAGTAGACATGCATAAATATATTCATTTTTTTAGGCAAGAATGTGCTCGTCGTCTGGATAGCCCATTACCTGCTTCACAAGGAAAGGTTATGTTTACCTTACTCCCTGCCCTCCCAAAACACAGAAAGTAGCTAAGAGAAGAGCTTGTGCTTCTTCTAACTCATTTCTTTTCGAGCATGATTTTTTTTTAAAGAAACATGATTTTTTTTTCATTTTTAATGAAAATTTTGAATCAAATGCAGTGTGCTATCCTAAAAATGCAGATTGGAAGGTGGCTACAGTAGAGTCTTGCAATAGATTTTGTGCTGAATACCGCAGTTCGAGCTGTGAATGGTTTACAACAACCCTGTAATATTGACCCTTGGTGTCAAACCCATGTTGCTAGTTGAGGAGATGAAGCTTCCTGTAGCGTTAACTTGTGCTTTTATCCTAACATTCTAGTTGTGCTGTAGGAGTAGCATACAACAACCCTGCAGTGTAGTTCATTGTTATTCTGCTATTGCTAGGCGGAGGCCTATGCCCAGTCACATCATCTGCTGTAAACATTGTAGGTCAGATATGGGGCAGAGGCTGGTTTGGTTCCCAAATAGAAAATCCCCCCATACCTTTTAGGTTACAGCAAAGGTTAAAACGCCCATTCACCACCTTCTCACATGTCCATCACTCAGTTACCTGCAGAAACTCTGTTTTCCTCAGCCTTCCCTGAAGCTTAGCCTTACATTTCTGTGTCCAAGAAGTAAAAACAAGTATTTTAAAAAGTACACCTGAAGACAGGCACCCGTTAATGCGAGAGTTGGATGCTGCTTTTAGTGTCTTAAGGCCACCAGTCAGAGACGCAGGTAACACTGCAGCCCACAGATTTCCTGCAGCATTTTGTGATGACCACACGTGCTACATGGAAGAGGCATTTCCAACAGGCCGGTTCGCCCCCGTCTCCTTCATTGCAATCACAGCGAAGGCTGACACCTGCGGCCGAATGAGAAGAGCGCTCAAGGCTGCCCCGGCATGATCCCCAAATCTCAGAGGGCTGATCGAGGGGTCCCCCTTGCAGCTGCACACACTTCCGCTTCAGCAGCCCTCAGAAGCCCTGGCAGGGGGGCTGAACTTTTCGACAGTGTAGCCATGACAGCCACAAATACTGTTCAATAGTTAACTCACAGTTTAGTGCCCAATTTAAGTTACGCTCTAAACAACATGTTGGCATCTTTGCATCGAAGTAGCCGGACAGGAGCCTTACTGTGTTTTGCACCAGTCCTGTGTTTGGATCTGGGTGCAGGAGATCCATCCCGCTAGAATCATGTCCCTTCCTACTGGAGTTGTGGGGCACATGTTAAAATCCCCGCGAACAGAAGCCCAGCCCAGCAGCAAGCAGAGGGTCTGTCATTGCTTTCTGCTACCCTGGATTGCCCCAGCAGGAAATTTTCAGCTTGAAGGAGCATTTAAAGGTAGCCTGTACTTTGAAGTGGTACAGTCTGCCATGCACAAACCGGGCTTTAACTGCAACGCTTTGTCCGGAGGTCTGCCAGCAGTTTTTTTGGAGAGGGCAAAAGGTCTGATGTTCAGTCCTTAGAATCTCAGGATAGGCCTGTACAGCTCTTTGCCTCTGCCAGTGAGAGAAACCAACTTACAGGGGTCACTTTCATCTTACCAGTTTAGCCTGCAGTGTGGAACTCTTCCTGTGCCTTAGTTTTCCAGAAGTGCTGGAGAAAGCAATCTGACAACCACCATGGAGTTTGATGTAATTTCCCTGTATATCTTCAGGGCTTATGTCTAGATCCCCAAGAGAAATTTCACAAGTCTTAATGAAACTCTTTTAGACTTCATCAACTGTTTCTGCCACTCAGGAACCTCTGAATTTGGTCGCAACCTCTACCCCTGGTTCTGCCTTGCAGGGTCTTTTGTCAGTATGGCGCTGCATTGCATAATTCAGTGTAAATGAGCCCTCTGGCTTCGTGGTCTTGATGCTAAACCTGAAAAACCAGCAAAACAGGAAAGAGCATGGACATATCCCTGTGCCGTTGTCGTAGTCAGTCATGGGGGAGATGATGGGCAGCTGCATTATAAGCATCTAATCCAAGATTTTCTTTTCTTTTCCTGTATCTCAGCAGGAAAGCCCAGTAGTTTCTTTCCAGAAGACAGTTTTATAGACAGTGGAGAGATTGATGTTGGCAGACGAGCCACGCAGAAGATCCCTCCCAGCATTTTTTGGAGATCTCAGGTGTTCATTGACCACCCAGTGCATCTGAAGTTCAACGTTTCCTTAGGAAAGTCCGCTCTCGTTGGGATCTATGGCAGAAAGGGCCTGCCTCCTTCACACACACAGGTAAGGTGACCGTGAGCATCTCTTGGAGTCTTCCTCCACGTGCTCACTCCTTGATTCTTCTTGGTTTGTCTCCTGCCCCACAGAATGGTCTAGGAGGAAATCGGCACAGTTCAACGTGACGGAAAGCAAGATGGGTGGGTGGCGCTTGTCTGCCAGGAAGGGAGATCTGTGGTGGGAATCATCTGAAGAGTGAGAGCAGCAGTCCATCTCCTCTGATCCACAGTGATTCACAAGTCCTAGGAGAAAAGCCAGCAGATTCCAGGAATAAAACATGCCGAGGGGAGAAAGACACATTGTAAAAATCATTAAGCATAATGAGGAGGAAGCTGTCTTAAGGCAGGGCAGATGACTTCTCCGTGCAGTTCGGCATTGTCCAGTGGGACAGACACAGCTGCCAGTGGTTTCAAGCTCAAAACGGCTCGTCCTCATCACGTGCCACCACCCTTTAACGGGAGGTGCAGGGGACTGAATTTGGGAAATTTTATATTCGAAACAGGAATTTTACCCCTGGAAACCCTTTTCTAGGGCAGAGTTCAGGCTGCGGAGGCGAGCCCTTTGGCTGATCCTGTTGCCACGCCATCTAGATAGTGATTTCCTTACTTTCAAGATTTATATCTTGCTTTTTTTCTTACACAGAACTCAAAAGTGGCCTATATCATTCTTCTGCTGCTCTCAGTCTTATCCCCATAACAACAGCCCTGTGAGGTAGGCTGGGCTGAGAGTCCGTGACTGGCCCAAAGTCACCCAGTTGGCTCCACAGCTGAGCAGGGACGAGAAGCCAGATCGCCCAAGTCCCAGTCCCGCACTCTTAGCCACGACACTGCACTGGCTCTCAGAAATGACTCGGGCATTTGACAATATATGAAAAGGCTTTTAATAGGCCCTGCAATTTATTGTTGATTGTTTTAAAACTGTCCCTTTTTCGTACACTTGATTTATATTATGGCTCTTTAGGGTTTTAATCTTTGTAAACTGCCTGGAGACTTTTAGCTACTGAGTGGCCAGGACATTTACTAAATGAAATGAATTAAACAGCATCTTGACTGCAGTTACCACGGGCTCGAGATGAAAGGCCAGATCTGGCCTGCCTCACTCCAGGGATCTCTGGATGGCAGCACCCTCTTCTTTTGACCAGTCCCCTTTCCCCCAGCCATTGAGTTTTGTGCATTTTCCCCATTCTAAAAGGTTAGGACAATGCTTTCCTCCAGATAGTTCATTACTGGTAGTAAGAATTTTCTGCTAAAATATGCTGGTCTTGGGGCTATTTCACCCCCACCCATTTTCATGCATTCATTAGATTTCTAAACCCCCAGGGCGCCCCCCCCCCCCGCGGTTGGGTTTGCATCGTTTTGGCTTAGGCCTTGCTTTTGACCCATCCGCCCCTGGCAAGCAGCCCCTGAGCTTGCCTCTGAAGCTGAATTTTGCACAGTGACTGAGAGGAGTTCAGCACCCTGATCCTGGACAATTGCACGACGAAGGGGCATGCTTGAATTTTTAATAGGCCTCTAATCTCGCAACCTATGATAGTGTCCCGGGTACTTTTGTAAAGAAAAATCTAAAGCACAAAAATAGATGTTCCCATTCTGAAAGGACATTTATCAATTACCATTCAATCATGCATGCATGCATTAGAATATTTATAGTACACCTTTACATACTATTAGGATCCTTTAGGTGGTGATCAGTCATCCTGAAGGACATTTAACAATAAAACAGCATAGCTGTTCCATTATTGCTCTATAATTTCATTTTGTAAGCAGCCTTGGGAATTTTTTTTTAAATCAGAGACAGGATATTAATGCTTATTGTAATTAATTGCTTAAAATGAATAAGGAAAAATGTATATGGTGGCCATATTAGAACAGGCAAATGCAGGTAAGGCACAGGAGAAATGAGAGGGCATTGCACCTCCTCGGCCACCTCCTCGCAGCCATCACAGAAAGTCATGTGGGGCTTCACAAAAGCACCCTTGAAGGACCTTCTGTGGCTTGAAAGGGCTATTCTAGCAGGTGGGCGGGGAGAGGTCTGAACATGAGAAGCCTGTGAGCAGCAATATGTCCAGCCAGGATGGGCTTGGAGGCCTGTTAAGAGAGAGAATTGCAAAACGGAGGGCAGAAAGCTCCATCGCTCCTCCAGCCCTGCTTGCAGCTGCCCTGCTGGACATTAGATACTCTGAAGCTTCTGAGATCTCAGGCCTTCGTCTGACAAGAGCTCGGCCCTTAAAGCCAGGCTGAACGTCCTTCCAGGGATGTCAGCATCATGGTCTTAATCAGTTGTGATACGTCTGAGATACAGAAGGCATTCCAATGTGTGGCTTCCACCACCAAAAAAGATCTTATTTGTGTTTTCCTCCCCATGGGGGGGCCTCAAGCAGGACCACCCCCACAAGTGGGTTCAAATGGTAGGAGACCTCTCATACTTTAATTCTTTGCTCTTTTAATTCTTTGCTCTTTTATTTGGGGATGCCGCCGTTTCTTACTGGAAGACCAAATGATGGATGGATGGACTCCGTAAATTTACAGATTTCCTTAGCCTTGGCCCGGAATATGAAATGCTGCCGTAGGTGTGGGTGTTTTGACACACTATTCTCACCTGTTTCCTTTTTCTTCCTCCAGTTTGACTTTGTGGAGCTGCTCGATGGGAGAAGGCTACTGACTCAAGAGGCCCGGGGCCTGGAAGGGCCCCAGCGGCAACACAAGGGCATCGTGCCGCTGGCCAGTCACGAGACAGGATTTATCCAGTACTTGGATTCGGGGATGTGGCACCTGGCCTTCTACAATGACGGGAAGGAGTCCGAGGTGGTCTCTTTTCTCACCACTGCCATTGGTAGGACTTCGCTTTGGGGAATAAATACGTCTTTCAGTCGGAGTGTTACTTGAGGGTTGCGTTCAGGGCCTGCTCGTTCTGTGAGACAAGGTTAGGCTGGAGGGCACTAACTAGCCCAAGTCACCCAGGGAGCTTCATGGCTGAGAGGGGATTAGAACCTGGGTCTCCTGTGCTCCAGCCCAGCACCCCAGCCACGCTGGCGGTTGGTCCTTCCAGCCAAGGTTAGCACCGGACTGTCCAGCTTCCAGCTTTCGCTGCGCACACCCAGTCATACAGTATTTCTGACCGTGATGTGAATCTGGCTTAAACGATGCTGTCCAAATGTGTCCCAGCCATACCCATGCCATGGGCACTGTCTTTTAGGGTGGGCATGGCCATGTGTTATGGCCCTCTCGGACCAGCTCAGAGGTCCTTTTAAGGTTATCTGAAGGATCTCTTTGTCCCATATGTACCTGCCTAGAACGTGACATCATCTTTGGGGGTCCTTCTCTGGGAACCCCTTCCCAAGGAAGCTAGGTGGGTGGCTACCAGGAGGAGGGCCTTTTCGGTTGTGGCACCCCGGTTTTGGAGTGAGCTTCCCAAAGAGGTGCACCTGGCGCCTACTCTGTATTCTTTTCTGCGCCAAGTTAAGACCAGCATTTTAACCATCGAACTTTTTGACTTTGTTTTTGTATATCCCATTTTCTTCTGTACTGCTGCTACGCTTCTGTGTTGAATCACAGCAATTGCCATTATGTTTTTTAGATTATTTTTTGTGGGAGCGTCTTTTTAACTTTTGTTTATAACCATGCTATAAACATGTATTAAGGAGGTAAATGATCTAGCCAGCATCCTGTTCCCCGCTTTGGACGACCAGGTTGTTCCAGGAAGTTTATTTATTTATTTATTTATTATTTATTAAAACATTTTTATGCCGCCCCATTCGCCGAAGCCTTGGGGCGGCTTACAACGTTAAGTTAAAAAAAATTATTATTATAAAATTAAATTAAAAACTTCAGCAGCAGCCATCCTTCCTGTTCTTCAGTGGGATATTACCTCCGAAGCAGGAGATCCCATTTAATTCTCATGTCGGTAGCCCCTGTTATGTTTTGGAGTACAGATCTCAGAGGTCCTAGCCAGCATGGCCAGTGGTCAGGAATGATGCAAGTTGTACTCCAAAATATGTATTTGGCACAAGCATGCATTCCCTGATGGGATGTTGCATAGCTTTCAGCAGAGTTTACAACTGCCCTGTAAAATAGTCTGACCCTCACAGGGCTGGTGTGGGTTGTGGCTGAGACAGGATTACCTTGTTTGTGTAGCTCAGCCAATGGATATGCTGTTTAATCCAGGAATTGGTGGGGCTGCACAGGGACCAATGAGCATGCCACTCATCACTTCAATGGTCAATTAATAACTCAGGAACAGTCCATAGTTTTGTGGCAGCAGAACCTGGAACTGTGGGTTGTTTAGACCTTAAACAGCCCGCGTTAACCCAGCAATTGCCCATATAAATTGAAAATGGAATTGATGAGTGGTGACTTGCTGTCTTCCAAGCATCCCCAGGAATTGGCCATGCCGTGTGAAATGGGTCGGTGACTTGTCCCAGAGGAATTTGTGGCTATGGGAGGTTTGATCCAGGAACTGCTTGTCTCTCAGCCACTCCCCGCACAGACTTGCCAAGCTGCCTGGATTTAGCTTTCCTCCACTGAAAGCAGAAAATGACATTTCTAGATATTTTATCTGGGCTGTGTGTGCGTGTGTCTTTTAAATCCTGCTAAATATTTGGAGATTCTAAATAAAATCACATGGGGTGGCCATCCTTACAGCTATTTTTTATTTCACTAAATCCAGGCACCCATGTTTCTTATTTACCTAATCCATCTTCTTGTAATTCACGCACTCACCTGCAAAAATTAACGCTTAGCATTCTTTTAGCCACAGTGATTATTTAATGGTCTATTTTTTTTCTTGACTGCAAAACGACATCATGTTCTGTGCGAGGCATTAATCCATTTCCCCGAAGAGGCCTTGGCGCTGAGTCTCAGCTGTCTGTGAGCAGTTACCTGAGAGCTATTGGCCATAATTTCTCGTGGCAGGTTAATTAAAAGTTTAGGTCTTATTGAAACAAAGTCATTATGGCTACAATATTTGGTTTGTTTGTTTATTTATTTATTTGCCTTGAGAGTTTATTTAATCACAGTGCAACAGAGTAAAAGTCTGCTCCAGAATGGAAAGGTTTGATTCTTTTACTGTTGGAAAGGCACATGTACTTCTGATACGTGCGCACACATGTGCCTGAACGTGTTCACACTGAAGTGTGGTCTCATTATACTGGGATTTTCCAAGATGTCATCTGATCCTACAGATTGCAGATGTATTTTACATTCCCCTTGTAGCAGGTGATTGGAATGAGGTCAGCTTTTGCCGCTGTGAGGCTTCTTTCCTTCCTGAGTTCTCCAAGTTCTTCTCATACAGTTGATGCTTTTAAAGAGATCTCTTCTCTCCTTTCTTTTCCCTCGTTTTCCATCCTGTCATCCATGGAAACGGAGAGTACTCCCAGGTGTCTCAACCAAGCTGCTGTCTGTGTTTGGAGGAACTCAGTTGTAGTTTTGCTTCCAAAGCAGAGTCAGTCTCTTTCACCTTGCGTTAAAAACATGATGAGAAGGGTCTTTGCAAGAAATCCTGGAGCACCACTGATGCTCGATCAAGTAGGTAGTTCTGCATGGGTAGACCAGAAGCCCACACATTGTATGGTCACTTCTTATAATCCAGGACTTGAAAAAAGCTGACTTCACTAGGTTGGAAAAAGTGCAGAGAAGGGCAACAAAAACGTTCAAGAGGTTGGAGTAGCTGTCCTAGGAGTCAGGGGAGACAGGATATTGGGGTGTAAAATTTTGCATGTGTTTTTCTCCCTCTCCCATAATACCAGAACTCCAGTCGTCCCATGAAGCTGATTGGTGGGAAGTTTAGGGCAGATAAAAGGAAACCCTTCTTCACAAAGCATTTAGATAAAATATGGAATTTGCTGCCACGGGAAGTGGTGATGGCTGCCAATCTGGATGGCTTTCAGAGGGGAAAGGACATGTTCATAGAGGAGGAGGCTGTCTGTGGCTACGAGCTTGGCTGGCCAGGTGCCCCCTCCTTCTCCAGAGGCACCATGCCTGCATACATCAATTGCTGAGGAGCTTGGGCAGGAGGAGGTCTTGCACCCATCCTGCTTTAGGACAGCTGGCTTGCCACCATGTGTACAGAGTGCTGGACTAGATAGTCCTTGGGTCTGATCCAGTAGGGCTTTTCATACCATCTTATGCTCTTAAAAGGAATTCCACATATATGTTCCGTCTTGCACACCTGGTCTGCTTCTTCGTTGTCCTATACAAAATCCCACTGACACAGAAACTGGAACAGTTGTGCTGAGGCTCATTCCTCACAGGGTGTCCCTGCAGCCACAGCCTTGGACCCCCATCTGGCCAAGGGGCAGGACAGCGGCAGCTCCTTTGCCATTCTGATGTACGTGGAGGAACACGCGAGGTTTCATAAGTGGGGTGCAAGTTGTTTCATGGGGTGCAAGCTGTGATTCCACTTGGGTCCAGAAGCCAACCCTATTCCGAGTGGCCAGGCCTATCAGACGATGAGGCGGTTTTAGGATGTGTCTCCATGTTACTGGAAACAGAACTTCCCCAGGTTTAGACAGGCACTCCTCTTGACCTGAAGCCATGTAGATTGATGGTTCTCGGAGTTGTTGGACAGAAACCAAGATGCCCCAGCAGTGATCCTCGGGTGTTTGCTTTCCTGTGGCCAGAAGGGGCAATATGTACCTTCTTGTTGTTGTTGTTGTTGTTAGTCGCAAAGTCATGTCCAACCCATCACGAACACATGGACAACATTCCTCCAGTCCTTCCTGTCCTCACCATCCCCCGGAGTCCACCTAAGCTCACACCAACTGCTTCAGTGGCCTCATCCAGCCACCTCATCCTCTGCTGCCCCCTCCTTCTTTTGCCATCTATTCTTCCCAGCATTAGGCTCTTCTCCAGGGAGTCCTTCCTTCTCATTAGGTGGCCAAAGTATTTGAGTTTCATCTTCAGGATCTGGCCTTCTAAAGAGCAGTCAGGGTTGATCTCCTCTAGGACTGACCGGTTTGATCGCCTTGCGGTCCAAGGGACTCGCAGGAGTCTCCTCCAGCACCACAATTCAAAGGCCTCAATCCTTCGGCACTCAGCCTTCCTTATGGTCCAGCTTTCACAGCCATACATTTCAACTGGGAAAACCATAGCCTTGACTATATGCACTTTTGTTGGCAGGGTGATGTCTTTGCTTTTTAGTATGCTGTCTAGATTTGCCATCGCTTTCCTCCCCAGGAGCAAGAGTCTTTTAATTTCTTGGCTGCAGTCCCCGTCTGCGGTGATCTTGGAGCCCAGGAAAATTTGTCGCTATCTCCATTTCTTCCCCTTCTATTTGCCAGGAAGTGATAGGACCGGATGCCATGATCTTAGTTTTCTTAATGTTGAGTTTCAAGCCATCTTTTGTGCTCTCCTCCTTCACCTGCATCAAGAGGCTCTTTAGTTCCTCTTCACTTTCTGCCATTAGAAATATGTACCTACCTGCCCCCTAAAAGGCCAATACCAGGGAAATCAGCCACCTCAGCAGTATACGGGCTACTCAAAAACCCTCAAGCTGTTTTATTGGGCCTTCTGGTGTCCAGTACCCCACCAGACATATCCCGTCCTGGACCCATCTGCTAGACAAGCCTGCCCCACTAGAACCCTCAGCTCCTCCTGCAGCCGCTTCCAGCTCCAGCCAAACCCTGCTCCGGCCACCCCTCTGCAAAATTCGATTCTTGCTGCCAAGGCCTCCACCAAGATCCATACTTTCCATTGAACTCACCCCGACAAATCAGAACCCCCTTCTGGAGGGGCAGGAATACAGTCCAGATCTACCAGCCCAACATCCAACATTTGTGAACGGTAGCATGCTTCACCCTGCACGTGCCTCCGGGATCAGGGCCAGACCTGTAGGTT